TTTGCTTTGTCTCTTGCTTTGTCTCTTCTGCAGACAGTGGTCGATCCCAGGGGTTCTGTGACGTTCTGTAATGAGAAGTAACCTTCTCATTTTAATACCCTTTAATACCTTTATATGGTTTAGACAAGCCATTTCGCTCAGCAGTAGTTAATGAAGTGAAGCAAAAATGTATTGTTACCGATTTGTGAGTGAAGTTTCGTGATGATTTCGATGGTTTTACCGATTCTACCAAACCAAGCAATTAAAATTAAATTGTGTAGATGAAAAAAAGAAGAAGAAGAAGAAGAAGAAAGGGGAAATGCTCTTTGTTCAACAGTCTGATGCACTTCTGTCCAATCAGGAACCAGATGTTTCCTAACAGAAGGTAATCATTTAGAGATGTTTGTTGTGAAATCTTTGCATGATATGACATAAACAACAAGAAGCTGTTGGCAAAAAACATTAAACCAAAAATGCCATCCCTGACATCAGCTTCAAGCCGATCTCTACTGACTTTAACACATTTCTTTTTTGTCGTGCTCATGATGTTTCGACTGTGTTCACCACCTGATTTTTTCCTGTGTTGTGTTTGTCTTGTTCAGGTTGAAGCGTGACAATAAAAATACTTTACAGCCATTCACAGTCCTGAAATGGAAAAGCTATCTGAACCGTGGTCAGACAAGAGACCTCTTGAATGGTTTCATACGTGTAAGGGAGCCTGAATTAAGCTGATTAAGCTGCCGTACGTGGAAAGCGTTAGAGTGGACGAGGCCGTGCATTTTTCCTCCTTCTGATTGGATGATGTGGCATAACAGCAGCCGTGTTGGCAGTAAAAGCCAGTTAATAACTTTATGAGGATCCTTAGCGCTTTGTCCATATCATTAATGGTCTTCACAGCCAGAAGTGCTTTAAAGCACTAACCTGCTTGTCTGTCCGTATGTGGTTAACTTTCACAGGAGGCTGCTCTGCACAAATGTGGTGTTTTTCATTTTCATACTACGGTCTGGATGATGGAGTCTGTGTTCTGGAGCTGAAAGAGCTGCTGCTGCTGGTCTTTACTACTTTACTTTACTACAGTCTGGAGCCCTGTGCTTTGGTACACATAGTACTTAAGCAGTGGCTCCCACACTTTCACTAGTACTTAAGCAGTGGCTCCCACACTTTTTCTGCTGCACCCCTTTTTGTAAGAAGTACTACTGTTGAGCTGCCCAGGTCAAGACATTTGCAGCCATTGTTGTACTTCAAGACGTCACTGAATTTTACCGAAAGTCTTGCAAAATTGCAATTCTTTTTGAACAGGAAAATAAAATGAAAACTCAGTGTGTGTTTCAAACTGTGCAGGACTGAACTGATGTGTCTTTCTGCCCCTCTTCCCTCCCCACAATAGCAGAGCAACACTTATGAGGGTCCCGTCCCGGACTTTGAGAACCACTGTACTGAAGAATACTAATGACTCCAACAGTGCCCTGGTATTGTGTTTAAGAGCTTGAGAGTAGTAGTCAAGATGAAAGATAAAATGCTGTTGTTATTTAAATATTTCCCATAATTGTTACATGTTACTATTACTGACAGCTGTGTCAACAGTGTGATGGTTGTGATCACAGCAAAGGAAATATATGTATAAATGTATACTATCGTATTCTTTAAAGATTTTGTTCCACTGCAGACTCAGCTGTGAAATATTGTCCCTGCTGTTGGTGAACAAGAGAGTCTTGTTCCTAAAAAGCGTCCAGTTAGGAACATGAGTCTATGGCTTCAAGCAGCATTTGTCCACGTTCAGCTGCTGTGTGGAGCTCAGAGACAGGCCAAAAGGGAAAAGGAGTTCTTCTAATTACCCCCCTCCCCATAAATGAGACAAAACCTTCCTGCTTGAATCCACTTGCCTCTCCACATTGTGCTCCCTCTTTCTCCTGACCCTCCCGTCTGGCCTTTACTCCGTCTCATGCTCTGTCAACATCATCTGTGTGGCGGAGCAGAGCGACTCAAAAGCAGACCCTTTTTGCTTTCCTGCAGGTGGCTGATGGGGCTGAGGCAAGAGGCAATCCCTCATCACTTGCTCTCCTCCTCCTCCTCCTCCTAATCCACCTCCTCTTCTAGGTCCACTACCACTGTGCTTCCTGCCAACATCACATTCTTGACATCTAAAGGAGAAAAATGTTCAGGTTTCATTGAGAATACAAGTGTATAAACAGTCTAAACGGCTCAAAACTCACGGCTTCAGAGCAATTTAACGTCCTTAGGTTTTTATAGCATTTAAAATTCTTGAATTGAATACCTTGAATTTAATGTACCTTATTCTCATAAAAAGGTTTTATTGCTACATGAAAATACATTTGTAGCTACTTCAGCAAATATCCTGGGAGTAAAATGTCCTTTGCTTGTTCTCATAGAGAAGATGGTATTTCTTTTTTTCTTACATGTCAGATATTGAAAAATAATTTCAAATGTACACACTAGGTTGTGAATAAACAGCAAGGATATTGAAAAATAATTTCAAATGTACAGACTAGGTTGTGAATAGCTACTCCTGTTAGTAAAGGTACAGTGGTAAGCAACTGAAGTTTAGGTAAAAGTCAGGCTAAAAATAAAGAAAAAAGCCTTAAAGACTTAAAAGCAAGCCCACAAATTGTAAACAAATCTATGAAAGTTGCGGGAAAAAAAACAGGAAAAGATAATTAAAAATATACATGACGATAGCTAAATCATATTCTAAAACATAGCTCAAATCTACCTCAAAATTTCCACATTTTTGAAAAGCAAAAAGGGCGCTAATAGTGAGTGCAACGGTAGTTAACAACAAAACATCAAAGATTTTGCATATTGCTAAGGGCTAACCATGTGTTTGCTTGGCTAACTTAGCTGACAGCCGTTGAAAATAACAGCTAGAAGTCAAAGAAGATAAACATAATTAGTAACATATGACAGATCTAGGACAGAAATAGCTAAATATCAAAATAAAGTTAAAACAAAACAGTTTGACATGATGAATATAGCATAAATTTACTGATTGTTAGAAAAGAACGTAGCTAATGTTAGCTAAGTATAAAGCTGGTTACACCAATGATTTCCTAAGTGCTGCTTTTGGTAAAAATATTTCTTTACAGTTTTTTGGAAATATAGTATTGTATGTTGTATTAATGATGCAATTATACATAGAAAAAGCACTAACTGATTTTTGCTACCTGCACTGCTCTGAAAACCTATTGAAATGAAAGCTCAAATTATCAGTGAGTTGATCTGTAGGACCTGAGACACCATTCCCGCTGCTGTAGCAGAAAACAATTACTACTCTTGGGTCTGAAGCCAAGTAAATTAAATGTGGTGTTTTTGTACATTTCTGAGCTTCTTGCTGTGTGGGAACATCCAGTAATGGCTCAGCATGTCAAAGCGTGTCAAGTGTTACAGTTCCCTTCCTGTTGGGGGGGGTGGGAGAGGAGAGGGGAATATCACCCTAGTAATGAATTCAAGCTAAAAAAAAGGCTTGTCTTCAGGCCCCTTCCTAAAATGATTAACCCTTCTACTGAGCATTATTGAGTTCTGAGTGGTTACGCTTTCTCATTGCCAGTAATTGTTCTTTTTCTGTTGTTGCCTTCATCAGTCTCTCTCCCCATTATATGAAAAGAAGGAGAAAAAATGTCTGAATAGAGGAGGCTGATTTTCCCACAGTCACTCAACGCTGAAAAATACGCCATTGTGGCCAGGTTCCCATCCCTGTGGCCCGCTGGACTGAAGGACAGTCTTCTTATAATTGAGTGACCATTCTTTCCTCAATCTAGAAACGAAGTGATGAAGAATACAGTTGAATGTTGTAACAAATCTCACACTGACTGCAGTCACTCCAGTCTCCAGGTAGGAGCCAGTCTATAGTCTGACTGGACTAAAGATTCAGCCCATTCAAACTAACCCTTCTACATTCTATTATTCATTTGGTAACAAAAACAGTAGGACACAGCGGTTTATTCCAACTTCATATCATACAGTAAATATAACAATAATTATATCACCTGATTTAATATATAAATATATTAAATGATAAACAAAACTTCTATGTGGTGGTGGATTAATGCAAATTATTTAGGATTGACCCAAAAATCTGGTACTCAGCTATATAATATAGACATTTATAATATATATTAAAACACAGAAATGTAGTAGTAGTAATTGTAGTAAATGCTGTTGCTATCATCGGACATTGTTTTAATTATAAAAACTTTAGTGAACCAATGTTTAGAAAATGATCACAAAACCATTTATTCTCAGTTTTCCCTTCCAAAACTATTATCTATTTTGGGTGGGGGGGGCATACTGAAATGTAAAAGTCAACATTGATACTTTTATTGTATAATTAAAGTAAAGTGTTTAAAAAGGGAAATATGTTGAACTATATTAACTAATTTCTGGGTTCAGCCACAAACAATGGTGTTTCCAGAACTTTTCATCTTTATTATGGATTAAAGGTTCTGATATTGTAAATGTATTGGAGGGATAAAATAAAATAAAAAGTTAAATTGTAAAGGATTACAAAACTACAACCTTTTCTAAAATGAAACCTCAAGCCCACCAAGACTTTACAAATATACTTTTGGGTTGCCTGAAGCATGTGGCATTAGGAATTTATGATCTGATGAGCTTAGGTTGAACTTTTTTCCACAGATTTCTGACACTGTAAACACCTTCAGGAATCTAATCTTATTTTAAATTAAATTATTTATCTTATAATGCAAATATACAGGTGGAAAACGCAAAAGCCGTTTCTCCTGTTTCAATAAGTCACTATAATATTTTATGTTATTTGTTTAACTTAAAAAAATGATGCGCTGGTTTTATATATCATTTGATTAATCTTTAAAGGTACTCGTTTTTCATTAAGGTTATATATAGTCTTTTTGTGTATTTTTTATACTTGTTTTATAATCACAGTAAATGGCAAAACATTTCTTTACTATTGCAACACGGCTGAAGGCTCTTCCACTTTATACGTTTTTGCCCTCCTACGTCATCAAATACGTCTCCGACATTGTGACGAATTGGCGTGCGGTATTTTGTAAACCTAAAACAGTAATGGCGGACAAACCTAAACGAAGAGCAGAGCGTTCTCCTCCTTCTGCAAATTCTTATGAGTCCTGTGACATGTCCAACACCACGGACTGTGTGCGGGTTTTATTGAAGCTGCTCGCAGAGTTCGGAAACGAGGTTGGTTATCAATGTTTAAACCACAAGCTGACGGGTAGTCCGAGGAGTTAGCGGTGCCATGCTAATGTTTTTAGCCACAATCTACTATAGCCATGGTTTGGGGCTAAATTAGCTTATACTTTTTATGGGGTTCCTTGTAGCCTCTCCGTTCATATACTAAAATTTTACATGAATTTTAATTTTGTAAAGTCAAGCTTATAAAAAATAAAACGATACATTAGTCCTATCATTTTTTGTATCATGTTCTCAACCTAAATCTATACATTAGCGTCACCTGTTAGCACCAAACATCTCGTATTGTAGTATTTTACTTGGATTTTTTTACATGTTGTGTAGGGTAATTGTGCTCAAATAATAATAATAATATATAATGCCCAACATTTCAGCAAAGTTCACATATAAATTTAATGCCGTGGCAGACGGCACATGCTATTAGAACTGCTATTTTCAAGTCGCCGAGTGCATACCCAGGACAAAAATCAGACAATTTAGCTAAACTCTGTAAGACAGTAAATTGGCCAAAATTATCAAAATTAAGTAAAGACAAAAAACTGCAACAATTGGTTGCTAGAATTCGTCCAAAATAAAGTGCAAGTGTAGTATTAGTAGCTAAAGGTTAAACAGTTAGGGAGTAGTCGATTAAACTGAAGATGAATTTTATTTTTTTGTGAAATAAACCTAAGATGCAGGAAACTTTTTTTTTAAAGTAAGCAAATTGAAATGTTTGATTAAACAGGTTAAAATCTAAGACAACTATTTTTGGATAACAAACTAATTAAGTGGATTAGTCAGATCACTGCTGTTAGACCATTCAAAAATAATCCTGAGAACGAATAATGTGACAAAGGTAGTATTAACTTCTGAAGTTATTAGGGAGAATAAAATGTATATTCGTTTCATTATTACAACTACTTTTCTGAGTTGTATTTTTAAATGTCTTTAGTGTTTGTAAGCCAGTTAAATATTAAATATTTATTTATATGTAAAAATGTATGAAAAAGACACTAGAAATACAATAATGTTTTTCTGAAGAAATGATATCAACAACAGATTTTTTAAATGGCAGAAATATTTTGCATGTTCATTTGTAAAAATTACAGTCACGTTTTGTGATTGAGATGATGCTTTCACACAAGTGAAACCTCAGATTGTTTAACTATTTAATTAATTAAATCATCTCCTCTTTAAGCTCAAGGCAGGTGATGGTGCTTTGACAATACAAATCAACACAGATGCAGTCACTCCTTTATCTGCAGCTGCTGACACCTACTGTTGTTTACAGGAGCACATCAAGAAATTACAGGTGACTTGGTCACAGCATTTTTTTATGTACAAATTTAAATATTTGTTTTTCATAAAAATTAAAAATGATTGAATTGATAAATATTTGTAAACATTATAAGATGGTATGTAACCAGTATTTATGTATTTTTTGGATTATTTTTCATATTTACATGAATTAGTTATTTGTATATTATATATATTATAACTAATACTCATACTGTTATCTCAAGGCTGTGTCCGATGGCCTAAAATCACTTGTAGACAAAACCTCAGACGATGCCGTCACCTCCTCAACACTCGGAAAGCAGACTCCAGATCCAGTGACGCTCTGTCCCCTTGTCTCCGAGGCTAACAAGTCGCCTGATGACGTCATGATTCAAATCCGAGCTGGGAAGTCAGAGGTTGGTCTCAGAATAACTGTCAGCTGTTCTGGAAGTGACATTTTTCAAGCCCTTCACTCGCAAATGAATAATCCTAAGTAATTGCTGGCGAGGATGTGTACATGATGTGCCGCAGTCGATTTTATGCCTGATGGAGACCTGATAAAGCTGGAGTTGGGCAGAGAGTAGAGGGGGTCCTTCAGTGCTGTGGTCGGGTAGAACAGACCACATTGCTGGAGGGCTTTGAGAGAGGGCCAGGTCCTTGATGAATTATGAAGTGGATGCTCATTACTCTGAGATTGCATGTGGATGAAGGACAAGAGTCCCCCCATTCTGTTGTGCATTTATTTTGGTAGCCAAGCAAACAGTATTCATATTCCATCACGTGATGGCTGCCAGCAATTCAACTTTTTTTCGGGGGGAACCTGGAATTATTCCCTGCTATATTTCCTCATTCCACCTAATGTAAATTACTACATGCGTTTTTGAAGGTTGTTAAGATCACTTTTTTTTCCTTAAAGCCCTCTTTGCATTCTTGACACCCATCACCGGCTCATCAATCCATTGTGTGGTCTCCTCTGTGCCATCTCTCCATAGATTGAGCGAAGAATATCTGCATTTATGGAACGCAAGCAGATGGAGATCAATGAAAACAATGTGCGCGAGTTTTGCAACGTGATTGACTGCAATCAGGGTGAGAATGGGTAGCTGGGGGAAGGAGGCAGGGTGGAGGGAGGGGGGAGCCTGCACACAGATTGCCAATGTTTGGGAGAGAGCTGATTTCCACAGGCGAGAGGTCAGGCTGAACTGCTGGAGGAGTGGGGCTGAAGTAGGTAACACACTCGGCCTCAAAACACAACCAGCTCAGCCGAGAAAAACATCAGACAGAGGGTTGGCTGGGGTTTTTTTCTTTTAAATTCAAAGCTAGTGTCAGACACCAGTTATAGAAACCAGGACACAGTAATAGTGGAGACAAACATCATTTTACAACATTGTTTTTCTTTTTTACCTGAAATTTTAATTACCTTTTGAAACTGCATTTTCATCTGCAGAGAACAGCTGTGCCAGAACAGATGCAGTATTCACTCCATATCCAGGTTTTAAGAGTCATGTAAAAGGTAAGAAAAAATAAAAGCATTAGCTTAACCTAAGTTTTATCTTCTACATTTATTTATTCATTGTACAACAAAGTAGTAAAAATTGGTTTTTAATTGTGGAAAACTGACACCATGAAAGTTAATGTTAACAACTGGCCTCAATGAAGTCCTCATTTATCTTCAATACAAAATCTTTTGGTTTTATTAAAGACCCCAGTCTTTTCCACTGGCCCATTAAACCAGGAGGTGATTTATACATAATGAACTGTAATACTTCAGTAGTCCACAGCACAAAGGCAACATGACTGAATAATAGTATCTGTAATAATTTTGCCCCTGATGATTTTGAGTTCTGTTGAATTATCCTGTTTCTATTTCTTGTTGAAATTTAAATAAAAAACAGTCCATGCCTCATGAATGGCCATCTTCACTAAATGCTTGCCTTGTTTATTAGTGATGGAGATGATTGTTTTTCTGTGACTCTGCAGTTACTCGGGTTGTCAACACCTATGGACCCCAAACCCGTAGTGGAGGGGGCTTGGGAGATGTCGGGGAGCAGCAGAGGGGCCCAAAGACGAGACACTGTGGAAACTCAGCCATAGAAGAACGACTTCACAACATTGAGACTCACCTGAAGCTCACAACAGGTTGGTGTAAGACACAAATACACGAATACATTGACAAACATGAAGCAAATCAAATCAGGAGTTAGTCTATGTTAGGAAAAACAGCTTAAAGCCAAATTCAACATAAACAAAACAAATCCAAGTTTGAATAACCATAAATACTGCAAAGATAATAATATCCTAAAATATTTTTTCTATATATCTAGAAGCTGGAGAAATATCTAAAGCTACATATAAGTAAAAAAAAGCCCTGGAAATTTTCTGAAGTTCCTTTGAACCATATTTATTTGGCAGGAATTCCCTTATTCAGCAGAGAAGTTTATGTCATTAAATTAATAATTAATATTTTGAAAGACAAAGATTTCTATGTGGTTCAGTGATTATTCATTTTTCATTTCATCTAAATTCATATTTGTGTATTTTACTATAGATTTTCAGATTTTGTTCTGTGAAACCACCAACACACCTTTTTTTTTCTCAGCTGGCCCTGTTCCGTTGAGTGTCTACCAGCGGCTGAAGAAGCTGGAGGATCGTATCCTAGAGTTGGAAGGAATTTCACCAGAGTACTTTCAGTCCACGGTGAGTACTCTCTCTCTTTCTGAAGAGATAAGTGGAAAAGGGATCCAGGAAAACCTACACACAGCAAGGAACTATACTGGTAGACTTAATTTGGGTTTTGAAGTAAGGATCTTGATCATTTAAATTTCAAGTTAGCCAAAGAATTGCTACAAAATGAAGCAAAATAGTTTTTAAAACTTGATACAGTCAAGGGTTAGCCAAATTCTAGCTAAATTCTGACTAAAGAAACTAAATCTAAAATGAATTTATCCTAGAAATAGTTATATAACAGTTAGCAAATATGTAGATCATAACAGATAAAATTCATGAAACGTAAGTGGAATGATGGTAAGTGGTAAAGGAATGGTAAAATAGCCATTAATAAGCCTTAGTTTGGTGTAGTTGAACCTTAAAAGACTGTTTCAATAGTTCCTGAAGCTTTCTTCAGTTACTACATGTATTTTTTGGGTTAAGGAGAAGATACATTTTTCTATTAACACTCAAAGTATGAGTCAAACTATTTTATGTTGAAGAGCCGAGACTCCAAAGATGGTCTTACACACACGTACACACACGCTGTCGGCCGTGTGTACAGTGCTGAAAAATGTCATGTAGAATCAAACCTACGAATGGAATCAAAGTACAACTCCCTGAGTGGAGTTGGTGCCTGACGCTCAGAGTTTTCCACAGATACTCCATCATGTTTTCTTGACTCCACTTCCACTTAAGATGATTTAAAGCAAAGTGAAGCCACCTTTGGCTACATTCACTGCTAAAATCTGGGTCACTACACACAGCTCACTGGAGGAAAAATACTCTCTTTTTTTTATCAACCAGTGTTGTTTTGATGAGCTGAGACTGGTCAAAACACGGTCATTTACTGGATTCGGTTTACTGGAGCTACTGGACTAACAGACACAGAGTCTAATTTGTTGGCTTCAAGGAGTGGGTCAGTGTATTTTTGTGTGTGTGGTTATCAGAGTAAGTGTACTTGAGGTATACTGCATGTCTCTTCAGTACCACATGCTGCTTCTGTGAGTATGTTTGCTGCTGCTTTCCATCTGCCTTTGACTCTCTGCATGTTTGTGCGAAAGGCTGTGGAGTGTCTTTGAATAAACTGATGGTGTCTTTTCAAAATTCAGAGTACCACTTTTTTCTCTCTCTCTCTCTCTCTCTCTCTTCTGAATATCTGAAAATACTCCAGTTTGGTGCTTTGCAGAAAAGCTGCCAGGAACAACATTTTTACATAGAAAAGCAAAGTAGACCACTCAACGAATTCTGCAGCCGCAGAAAAGTACACAACTCTGAGAGGGTGTAGAGCTGAAGTTGTACAGTTGAATCAATGCAGTTTTACTTTCATCGCGTAAACGCAATGTTTTCTCTTTACCTCTAATCTCCTGTTGCTTTTTGCTTATTTCTAAGCCCTGGTTTACACTCTGTTCCAAAGACTCCGCTATCAACCAAACAAACACCATTTCTCAAGTGTTGGTTGTGACCCAAATCGTGGTCATGGGGTTGAATGTTTTGGCTCACATGGTTGTACTTGTCCATACAGCAACATGAACGTTTTAAGGCTTTCAAACTAAATTCTACGCTAACTCCAAAAGGTCCAAAATTGTCTGCTTTTGCTGTTCAAATGTATACTTTATATGGTGGGTTTATGTATACTGCGTATACGTGTTTTTGCAATCGCAGTTTGTTCATATTCAGCGACTGAATCTTATCTTCAATCTCAAAACTTTCTGAAGAAAACAAGACTCGGTGTCAGGTAAACAGCTCGATACTTCTGTGTCATACAATTTGAAAGCAGACTTTGACATTTTGTACCTCACCTGATCTAGTCGTTGTGCTGTATTGGCATCACCAAACACACCCACTGTGTCTACACTAGGTGTGTATGGTATCAACTTGCACTGATATGAACAAGCTCAGAAGTATTATGAGTTGGTTAGTATCATAACTGTAGAAAAGTATCATGCAGTATTTCATGTGCTTGAACACGGTGTATGCTGAACAATAAGGTGTACTGCGTTTTAGGCTTGCTTGCTTACTGCAAAAAGCTCAGTCAGTTTTGGCAGGGCGTCTTCCAAGGCAACAAGAGAGTTTGTTAATGGGCTGGTCAACATACACTGACATTTGACACTTGTTCTCCTCTATGCGTGACAACGAAAAACAACACAGTATCGCTGTCTTTCTTTTGACCAATGAGCCACAGGATTTCAAAGGTCTTAAAAAACTCTCCAATTAAAAGTTTCCCCCTCAATTAAAATAATCAAGGAAATTGCCTCTTTGTTTTTTTGTTTGCATGATTAAAAAAATATTGGACTCTATTTTCTGCTGTTAAGAAAAAATGAGAATACCTACCTACTATTTTAAATTCAATGGCTTCTTTCAATACTCCTAATTCAGCTTCTTAAAGGTTTGGAGAAATATGTTGTTTTTACTCCTCAGAGAGACGAACAAACTCTACCTTTACCAAACTCTACCAGACAAGCTTTTCATCTCGGAGATCTTCAGCAGCCTCCTGTTTGTCCTGATGCTGTTTGTTACGAGAGCTTTCTTTCTTCATTATATCAGTATTGATAAATGACTAACCTTGGTACAGATGTTGAAAACCTCTTCCCATTGACAACGTCTACATACATTCTTTGTAAGTCCTTGGAGCAGAATAAGAAAGCAAATGAGCATGGAGTTTGGTTTGTTTTTCAAACTTCAGGGGGATGGAAATTGCACTAATGAAAAGGGGCTAATGCAATTTGTGTGTGTGTGTGTGTGTTTCATAGAGCCACCTGCACAAGCGAGCAAAGACATCTCCCTCTCAGGTTAGCAGCTTTCTCTCTCTTTTCATTATCACATTGTGAGTGGAAGGTTAACCTGTTTTGATCATTTGATCAGATTTTTTTCTCCAACCTTGTCCTTCAGGACTGCAGTCTCACAGAGCTGGATGAGAAGATCAATGCAGTGAAAGCAGCACTGCTAAAACGGGTGAATGAATTTGGGCCTGGATATGGAACTGAGTGTTCACTATAATGAACACAAATCAATGATCCAACACAAAACATGTGTGTTCCCCTCCCCTCCTGTTATTTTGTAACTCATTAGGACTGTACTTACCTTTTAGAGAGTAAAAATAAACATGTTTTCCTACAAACTCCACACTGAGGCTTCTACATTTTTTATTATCAGGATACCTAGTTGTGGTAATAATTTTAGTGAAGTGAAATATATATATAAAAAATGTTTCGCTCTATGAACCAGACTAATATATCATTGATGGATCGTCATATGTATTAGGGTTGTGCACAATCATATTTATTATTGAAGAGTTAAATAAATAAAGTACACTTTATTCATTATAGTCATATGTATTAGGGTTGTGCACAATCGTATTTATTATTGGATATACAGTACACTTTATTCATTAACGATTAATGTGTTAATTTTGGCAGCATTAATTTATACACGTGTGCATATTATTTAGCTGTTGAAGTCTGTATGAGATGGAATGTTTCAGAAACAGTTATGTTGCACATTGTATAAAACAAATGTCCTGCTTCATGTCCTCCTACACTCATATGTCCATACATATTCTGTGGATTCCTCATCTTGTTTTCCTCGCTAACTACTCCATCATCCCTCTGTCAACATGTCCACGTCTCTGTCTTCAGCACGTGTCTAAACTGTGTCAACATTCTCTCTCTTCTAACTTCATCTCCTTAGCCGTTCCCAACATGTCATTAGTCACCACACAGCCAACGCTAACTTCAAAATAACAGGAAATACATTTGTAATCAGATTTTTTTTTCTTTTTATTATTACACGTGATAACAATTTTCTAATCAATGTCTAATTTTGGGATCGTGCTCGTGCGTCTGTGCTGATGTCTGATCAATGTGCCACACTGCTGTGTGATGATGATCACCTCTAATGGTTGTCATTATCACAAATGACCTGATTACTGCATCACTGTTGTGGAAAACACACAGGAGATTCAACAAACCAGCAATAAACAGGAGTCTGCTGTGTTTGACACTGACATGTTTACATGAAGACATGGGTTTGACAGAGTTTTTACTGAGCCCTAACCAGCATGACCTTCAATTACATTATCATTCAGTGACATTCATATGTATTTTAGCCTCAATTCTTTGTCAGCATTGGTAGAGGTGTAAGATGTTTTGTGTAGATGAGAGGCATCACTACAAATGGTTTTCAAAATTGAATTAAGGTCACAGAGTAAATTTAATAACATTTTAATAACAAAATTACTGTAATGACTGAAAATAGCATGTTCTGTAGAAGAAGTGTCATTTGTTGAGAGTTGACAACATTTTTCAGTCCATGGATCTGTGGATGTTGCAGGACTGATCCGGTCACAGTCTGGTCTCCTGACCAATTACACAACACCACTCTGTATGTTGTGGAGTTAAAGGTAAGCACCTTTCTGCCTCCACTTTGCTCATTCTCCCCATACATTACCCATATGTGTATGTTTTTTTCTCCAGATATTCCAGGTTCCTCCCAGAGCTCAACAACATGATCACCAGGGGAATCCGTTGATGGGACACTATAAAATTAACCAAAGGTGGAAAGTGTGTCTCTATTTGTGTGTGATGGTATACACCGCCCTCATCCGTTGACGGCTGGGATTTGCGCCACCCCCTGACCCTTGACATCTCATCTGTAGGGTAAGTGTGCACTTTTTTATTTAACTGTGATCACTCTGGTGCTGGTACTCTAGATGTGAATAGTGCCCACACATTTTTTGATTATTCCTTTTGGCCAAGATTCCAAAAGGGAAAGTAGAAAACACAGTTCAATACATAGCACTGAATGCTAATTACATTTAGTGGAAAATAGATGCTAAAGTATGGTATTAAATGGTTTCTATATGTGGACAGGTCATGGTTGATTGTTGACCATCCAGGAGAAGCTCAGTTTTTGGTGATAATATTTTCTTTGTATACTTTTGTCATTTCTTGTTATCTTGTTGATGGAAGATCGTGAACTAAAAACTAAAAACGTTTTTTTCCAAGAGAGAAAAGGACTTGCACTCGGATGCCCTAAAAGTGTTCTTTTGTTTCCACAGCCACACAACTATAGTTGGGGATGTCCGTTTGGATTTTACAGTCTGTAAAATGTGTCAAAAAAAAGTTTCTCACACTACTGAGAACAACTGTGACTACCTCTGCCGTTACGTTGCCGCTCCTCATTGTCCATCATGTCAAGGTTTGTTTCAGAGTTGATTGATGGAGTGACCGGAACACAACAGAGAAAAAGCTGCATTGTGGGCATTTTTTTTTCTTCTTGTACAACAGAAATGGGCATTTCTTTCCACCTTCACCAACTCTTTCAGGTGTATACCCCACTTGTTTGGGCTCTGTCCTTCTCTAGCTCACAGACTGGAACCTTCTGGGCAGACACAAGAGCCCACAATGCACTGGGAGGTGCGGGGGTGTGCACTTGAGCCGTTGATATTTGGATGTGGTTGTTCTCATTGTTCCCCCTGGGGCTTTTGTCTCAGACACAGTGTCCTCATGAGGGTTAATGAGGACAAATTGGTCTGAGTTTAACAAATGGATTATGGTGATTGAACAGAGGGATTTAATTTTTTTTTTCTGCCAGGATCCACCCCTCATCTGCCCAATGAGCATATCTGCCTGAAGTGGTTCCAAATAAATATCTCATTATCTTTATCCTGTGCATTTAACTGCAGTCTGAAGTTTATATATCAATTGTGTTATTTAAAGATGTACAGAGGGATTTAATTTGTCCCTAGAGCCTGGGTGGAGAATATGGAGTCAGTAGGTCAACGATAGTGTCACTGCTTAGTTGCTTAAAGGTTAGCCGTCATGTAGCCCTTTTTTTTCACATTAACAAAGAGCCACTTCCTCATTTTCTCCGTCTAATTCCTGCCTGTCAATCATTCAGTCCTGATTTATCCTCATATGCTTGGGAACCTCAGTTGAAAAAGGAGACGCTGAGGTTTTTTCTTGTTCCCTGAATTTGTAGTTGATTTTTTTTTTTTTTTTGTGGAAGGGGTCGAATGAGAGGATTCATATCCATTCATATCTCAAACCTTTAATAGGCTCCAAAGCCCTCCAAAAAAGAAAAGCTCTTTCCTGTGACTAGTCAGCTCCAGTCTTTATTCATCTGTGGCTCCGTGTCAAAAAAGACTGTTGCTCGTTTGTGCCCCCGAACAATAAGGGACAAGGCTGAATCTCTAGGTGGGAACAAAAGACGGAAAACAGGCTTTTCACTCTGCAGAACATTAGATTCTGACACATTTTGCCATGGCAGTCACCCCCCCCCTCCCACCTCCACCCCACCATCCCTAGACACCTCCACCAGGCTGAGTGCTGTGGCTCTGCTCTTTTTAAAGAGACCACCTGTTGGCAACAAGCCTGTTCTTCATTACAGACGGTCTATTATCACAGGGTGAGGGGAGCACCTCGGGGTAACTTTTAAAAGTTAACCCTGCTGCTGTTTTTTTTTCTTTTTCCCTGAAGTCGGACCAGCAATAGTGGAAACGCAGATTGTGTGTTGACACCAGAAAAATGGCCCCATAATTTGGACTCTTGTTTTTTTCTAAATCAGGGGCTTTTGTCAGTGTAAATGGAAGGTACTTCATTCAGGGACCTGTCACTCAATGAAGGGACTGTATGTATTTGTCAGGACAAAAATCACATGTTCCTACCGTTGGGCTTTTTGATGGTGGTCTTCTGGTGTTTGCAGAGATTTTCTTTTCCTTTTTTTAAACCAGATATGAGCAATTTTCAGCTGTGGGGACATTAGCATAACCGCAGCATGCTAATGCTTTTCACAGTGCAGTATGAAATAAAAGTATTGTAGGTTGTGACATGAAGCAATCAAGTGTCTACTCTGGCGTACAATTGGACATGATAAATACAAGACACAGAAGCACTACTTTCCTGTGTTTTTTAGTTTGATTGCTGTTTAAAGTGTTCTATAAATCTTTTATCTTTTCAGAACTTTACTGAAGTGTGGGGAAAACATGGTGCTTAAAGCTTCTCGGCTAAAGTGGTCCCTAAAAAGTTAAGGGAGGAAAATAATTTTCTTTTCATTTTCTTTTTTGTATAATGTATAATTAGAGAAACATAATTAAATGATGTGCCTGGATTGTTTGTTGTTTGAGTTACACTTTATGACCAATGTTTTCATCTGCTTCCATGGTAAAATAACGTGTGTTTTTTTCAGTAGCTACACCTGTATTTACAGCCAACATTTGATAATCTTCTTGATGCAATTTTTCCAAAGTTTTCACCTTGTTTTTTGGCTAACCTCTAGATGTGTTACGTTGGTTCACTGCAGCTATTTCTAGGCTAAAACATACTTTTATATCTAATTTTAAGCCAATTTTCTTTAATTCTCTGCTACTTTTTAGCAAACATTTGGCTACATCTGTCTCCAGTGCTGTGTCTGGTCATTAAAGTTTAAATGAATACATTTTTTTTTTAGTTTTATCGTGATTTGTTAAATCTTTTTTCCGAAGCGCATTGTTGCAAAGTTTCTTGGCTAACATTGTTTTTTTCTTATTTAACACAGTTTTATGGAATAGGATTTAACTAATTAAAACATTATCCTGTTTGTATGGTACTTTGGAGTTTTGTTTTTATTTTAAATATTTTTCTGACTTTCTGACTTTTTTTCTGTCTGGCCTGGCACAATTATTTCTAAAGTTGTTTTCAGTAACTTTTGAGCATGTGCTCTCCAGCTGTCTCTTATTCAAGTAAAAACATTAACTGCCTTGCAGGTGATTGGCCAGGCCTTTAAGAATAATATATATCATCGAGAGCAAAGGCATCAGGGTTGTTTGTGAACCAGATGCCTGGATGGAAACCTTCTGCTCCACCTCCACTGTACTCTGTATTTGACAGAAGCATTGGAACTCTTCATGAGAATTTAAGTGAAATTTCATATGTTTCAAGGACACTTTCCCCAGAGGTCATGCTGGTTTTTGATTCAGGTGGGGGAGGGACTAGTTTTAACCCGCTTAAAGTGTGGTGACATGAAAGCAGCCAAATACCTCTGTGGTGTTCATGCCATCACTGTCGGAGCCCAGCCACTGCAGTCGCACTTGTTTCATGTTGACTAGCACCCAGAGGACAGAACAAAGGTGGGAGGGGTGATGTTCATGGTTCATGCACCTGTGACCCTCCCCCCCTTACAAAACAGACAGCAGAAGAGAGGATCCCCCCGCAGCCCACAGGCTTGAATAAGTGGCCGTCAGCTGCACTCTGTGGCCCTGCTGCACAGTCCCCGGGCTCTCACCTCTTAAATGTGCCTGTGATATTGCCAGGAGGCAGCAGCGGGAGCTGAATTCAGGCAATTACAATCAAGTCAGGGCATAGTTAGTGCGTGGGCCCCAGCAGCACCTGAGCTGGATGCTGATGAGACACTTAGCCCCAAACCCTCGTGCATTGGCCCAGGCGCTGCACAGAGCATCCCCTCCTCCTCCTCCTCCTCCTCCACCACCACCACCTCCTCCTCCCTCTCCGGAACAGAAGCCGACCCCCTAATGGACACTTCCACTTCCTCTCACCTCATTTAGGCCTCTAGTGCCCCCCCCCCCCCCCCCCCCCTCCTCCTCCTCCTCCTCCTCCCCCCCCCCCCCCCCCCCTCCTCCTCCTCCTCCCCCCCCCCCCCCCCCCCTCCTCCTCCTCCTCCCCCCCCCCCCCCCCCCCTCTCCCTCCCTTTCTCCCTCTGCCCTCACATTGTAATACTACAGCTCTCTATAGGCTGTGTGGAGCACTGCACTCAATCACTCTTCATTCATTCACAGTGTACTATAATAGACAACTGCTCAGGTATTGTACCTCAAGCACCTGTGCATTCCATAGTTTCTAACGTGACGTGGCGTCTCGTGACATGTTCTCGGACCATTAGTCTTGACCTGCACGTCCTTATTATCCTGTTTTATATAAGAAATGTCAAACAGGTTGACAGATCGAACAAAACTAATAGAAGGGTCAATTTAAATAACTTTAACAAACCAAATGTGATGGTAACCATGGTAACCAACCGCTAGAAATTGTACACACAGGACGCCGTGACAGGGAGGGGTGATTAATGCAGCCCCAGACAAGTACAGAGCCTCACTCATGATCTGATGGCTTGTTCTTAGCTTATCATCTCATTGTGTTGGAGATTGAAAAAAAAATGAGGAAACTGAAAATTGGACATCCATGTAACCATATTAGCAAAATCATGTTTTGTTTTTTTTTGACAGTAGAAGCCCTGACTCTGTGTTTGTTTCTGTCCCAGGTTCTTCTTCTCCACGGTGACAGATCAGCTGAAAGAGGAAAAGGAACCGTTGGAGAAAGATTTTCTAATTTTGTAAGTACAGACTTATGTTTAATTATTGGTTTTGTTTTCTTCTTTTAATGAAATTTATGTATATATATCTCGAACTCGAACCAATAACCGGAAGGTTATAGGTTCGAGTCCACCAGTTGCCATGGCTTACTTTGGTGATGGGTTGTGTGTGCAGTGGTGTGCTGTGTCACAATGACAAGTAGTTCACTTAACACTTAAGACATTATATATACAGTAGTGTAGAGTGGGGGGGAGGGGGGGTCCTTGGTCTTAGAATGGTTGAAGATTGTATTTGTAAAGCACAAAGTCACTTTTAGGCTAAAACGACCAAAGATATTTGTCGTGGACGGAAACAACAGGTGATGTGATCAGTTCCCTGAAGATAGTTTCCTCTTGGCTGATGTGTTCTTGGACTGGGATGATTGTATAGGAGGTGTTGTTTCTCCATCTTTTTATCCAGAAAGAGGAGAAGGAAGAGGGAGGTGAAGTTTGTGAATATCTATGTCCCTAGAATATGGAGTCAGGCATCACAACAACACTCTTAGCTCCTTCTTCCCAATAAGGTGCTCTCAGCTCTTTGTGAGGAAAAGCCTCCCAGCTCCCGCCCTCTCTCTCAGCCACCACACTTTGCTCAAGTGTCATTAGGATGGTAAAGGGCAGGTTGCCATAGTGCTCCGACTGCTCAAGACGTATAGACTCGTGGATCAAACCACCATATTTTGAATGTAAAGATACTGAGTGTATGGTGGCTGGTACGAGGAGGGGACCGCACTGGTTTACTTCTTCATCTGCAGTCCACACACACACACACACACACACACACAGAGACCATGCATCTTTCATGTATGCGTTCGGGGGCTTCTGTTTTGTGAGATTGCTAGCTTTACTCTTCAATCCACTCCCATTGTCTGTCCGTGCCCGTGCTTGTTAGTTGGAGCTGGGCGTAGTATTTGGCAGAGCCGAGGAGGCAGAAAGGTTGAACACCTCTCTCACAATTTTTGCCATAATGGTTGCCTTTTGATTTTTCCTGGGCTTCGGAGGCTACCAGGGTATTGTCTCTTTGAAATTATTCCATTTTGGCAGAGAAAAAGAAAATGGATTGTGCTGATCCTGTTTTGTTCCTTGGGGGCGGGGGGTATGAGGGGCTGGGGCTGGGGCTGGGGGTGGGGGTCGACGGCTGCAGTATTATCCCGAGCTGACACCGGTGGCGAAGAGGCAATCACAGTGGTCCTCGCTCTGACAAAAACACTCCATCTGCAAGGAGAGGAGGAAATCACACCACAATGATGTCTGACTCTTCTGCCTCACTCTGGCAGCTGGGCCCTGGGACCCAGGAACCGCCACACAACAAACGCACAAACAACACAATACAGATCAGCAGCTGTAACGCACAAAGAGCGTGATGCACCTGCCTTCACGACAACAGCCGCAGCGAGAGTTTGTTGAGTGAAAAGTTTGGTTTCCCCAGTCGGAGTCAGGACAGTCTGCATCGTGTGGATGTTGGAAAAGAACTTTTTTAGTTTTGAACAGCGGTCCACGAGCCAATCACGGCACCGCAACACACACAGATATTTATCTTTTAAACCAGGATGAATGGTTGACCTTTGACCACCTTTTGCGTCTTTGAAAAACTTTTATGGCAAGTTTTGTAACTTTGTTATTTGGCTAGTTTTTCCAAATTTTTCATTTTCTTTCTCTCGTGCTTTTTCTCTCAACTACAGCTGTGGTTTAGCTGTAATAATATATCTTTAGTGCAGGTATTTCAGCTAAACCACAGCTGTTTCAGTAATTGTCTTTTCATTCATTTCTTGCTGGTATTGTAGCTGAAATACCCATAATTATTAGATCATCCGTTTGGCTGGTTATTCGTGGCTCACAACCCATGGGTTGGACAGCTGTCATCTGTTTTAGCTCATGTTTAAGTGTTTAAGGTTTTTTTTTTCTCCTTTTTGACTAAAGTGTTTGCCAGTGTTTTATATACACTTCAACAGTTTCTTAACTATATTTTCAACATTTGACAGATCCTGATGGATTTGATCGAATGGCATCAGAAAAATGTCAAACTTTTGCAGAAATCTTTTCAATTTGATCGAATGGCATCAGAAAAATGTCCAACTTTTGCAGAAATCTTTTCAAATTTACTGTAATATGTCAAAGCAATAATCAGGTACTGAAAATGTCTTTATGTGTATTGCAGTTCTATTAATACACTACACAGGCAGCCGTTGATCCTTGGGTTATTTATCACGTACAAATATTGGATCCTGTATCCCAACAAATCATCCACTGATTTGGGCTTTTACAGAACGTAAACGAACAGGGTTTGTTTTTTTGTTTTTTGTTTTGTTTTTTTTTAAAATAGCTATTAGGCTGTTAGTCTGCAAACAACTGAAGGCCACTGGTATGTAAAACGTGTGTTGTCTCACATGGAGCTGGATCTGTTGGTATTCAGCAGCGTCACCTCTTCAGCCTGAGGATCAGACGCTGAAAGTCCTGACCTCCTGCTGTCAGCAAACACCACAGAGTCCAGCTGACGGCTCTCAGAACAGACGCAGGTCTGTCACTATACAGCAAGACCCAGAGACGACTGACCTGCTGCTGCTGCTGCTGCTGCTGCTGCTGCTGCTGCTGCTGCCGCTGCTGCTGCTGCTGCTGTGTCATGCCAACAGGGCAGCATTGATTTTGACATACATATTTTTCCAGAGCCGCTGGTTCCTCTGACTTTCACTGGGTGTGTGTGTGTGTGTGTGTGTGTGTGTGTTTGGATGATCATGGTACTGAACTAAAGTTGAGGTTATTTTGAGATTCAAGGTTTAGTTTGGACTAACTACATTTTTTCCTAAATTGATTTACCCACTGCTGACATTGCTACAATATTTTGCTATTGAATTTGAGCTCATTTGTTAGCCCACATCGAACTTTGCTATTTTTTGATTATTTGGCAGGAATTGAACCACATTCCACACCCTTAACCTTTAGTTAACTCTGCTATATTAATGAATAAGAATTTTAAAACTATATTTTGTCTACTTTTACCAATTTGATGCTAAATTCAGGTAGTTCTTTCTAAAATCCATTTGAATCTTTACATGTGGCTTACGCTAAGTTTATGTTTATATTGTCCTTTAGCTTTCTACCAGTATCTGTAGCTCAAATTAAAATCTTTATCCAGATAAAACTTTTATTTTTATGTGTCTTTGTCCTGAGTAGAGCAGCATTTTCTTCAACGTGTTTCTCAGAGCATCTCATTTCTATTACTATCACTGTGTCAGATTAGGCTCAGTGATCCGACTTTTAGATTAGTGTTGGGGAGTCTCTCTCTGTGTGTGTGTGTCTGTGTGTGTATTTGTGGGCAGAATGCAGCCTAGCGCAGGGGGTTATGGGTCTGTGCAGTGCCGTCACATGAAAACCAATGAAGGTAAAGCACGAGAGGGGGATTAATTTGTTTTGAGAGAGGCAGAGGCTCAAGTGGGTCTGCCAATAGCAAATTAGCAAACCCTCATTTCAAAAACCCTCATACGTACTAGAGAACAGCGACGTGCAAACACAAACATCATCCATGTGCACATGCATACATGCAGTTTGATCTGGTGAGAGGAGGAGGATAAAAAAAAATCATACGGGGGGGTCACAGTCTTGGCCCCTCTTATCCCAATAGTCAAATATCAACCATTTTTGTGGATCAACAGTCTGCAGACATTTGGGAGAGATTTGAAGTAGCGTTAGCCATGTGCCCTGAGGTATCCCAGAATATTCAAAGTCATCAGATTCAGATTTGTTTGTCTTCTGTTAGGAATCCTGATAAACAGAGATGACGTTTCCTACAGTCTTCATCACTTCTCCAGCGTGGACTGGGTCATGTGATGCTGTTCTCAACTTCTGGCCAAATAAAGTAACCTGAGATAAAGTTAGTAAGACAAAAAGTTACAATTTTTAAAAAAAAAAAATGTATTTATAAGAATCACTTTGACAGAATAGTTGCACTTTCACAAATTTTCTCCAGAAAATTCTGATTTTTCTATACCTCCATTTCTATATCCCCCCCATCCCCCCACACAGACACATACATGTGCTCACACGAGGAGAAAACTTCAATTTTATCTGCAGGGGCAGAAATCAATCTCACATCTCTTTAGTTAATCCGCAATTGCTCTCTACAGATGCTGACACTAATAAGGTATTGAGCAGGTGAGGCCAGGGGCTGAGGAAGAAGGAGGAGAGGAGGAGGAGGAGAGGGGCCTGCAGTCTGGGGCCCTGACTGGCGGCTGGCACAGTTCCAGTGCAATTATGGGTCTTGTGTGTGGCAGAGAGAGGCTGCAGGAGAAAAAAGCAACAGAGATAGAAGCAGAACTGGAGAGAGAGAGAGAGAGAGAGAGAGAGAGAGAGAAAGTAGTGGTGGGGGAGGAGGAGGAGGAAGAGAGAGAAAAAATCGATCCCATCTGTGGTATGATGGTTAATTAAAGCAGCTCTCGAGCAGCCCGAGGATGAGAGGCTTGGCTGGGCTCCTGGAGGCACAGCTCTGATTACTCCCACAGAATGGATGGTTTCTTAGCAATGAAAGGAGGGGGCCGAGGAGCTGCCTGGTGGGGAGCACGGACCCACATCAGGCAGGAGTGGGAGACATGAGAAAGACGCACACTTTTACACGCGTGCACGTTGCACACATGCAGGAGGACTCTGGCGCAGAGCTGCATGTGCGTGCACACACGTCAGCGTGTGCAGAGGCAGCCGTGGACCAACGTCCTCACATGAGATCAACAAAGATGCTGAAGGAATTAGATTGATGTAGGGTCACAGGAAGTGGATAAAGACGACCGGCTGAAATGATCAGGAATGTCCTCAAAGTAATTTTACAAATGCTACACACAAAAGCCGGCATTGACCAAATACCTTTGTTAATTTCTTCAATCATTTCTCTGTAAGAAACAAATGTAATAAGTTAATAATAATAATAATATAAAGTCATCACCTGAACCTGTGCTGACATTTAGTTTCAACACAAAGTCACAGAATTCTAACCTCTCTTCTGTGACATACACAACGCTCCTGTATATTGAAAGGCCACGGGTGACAGCTGTACCACTTTGGTATGATTACACCCCCCTATGGTGAGATCTGGTATTGCATTATATATGCAGGAAACCTTGACCGAATTAAGGGGATTGTTTGCTCAATCTTTGCAATAAATTTCTTTCTCTCACATTTTTTCATAGAAATACACAATGTACTTTTGTTATTATGAAATAAAATGATCATTCCATTATCAACATCATATCTTTTTATGGGGTTTCTCTGATTTCCATGAAACAACTCGGAATTCCTGCTAATATGGCTAAATAACTTTCTTTATTGATGTAATATTTTGTTAATATTTTTGTAACCTGTATTTTATCTGTAAAGTTGCTATTTACTTAGGCTAACTTTAGGGCAGTTTTTCTGTTGTTTTGTTTTAAACATCTAAATATTTCAGCCTTTTATATCTGTTGTCTTTTGGACATTTTTTTTTTTTACTTTTCCCTAAATCTGACAGTTATAATTTCCGGCAGTTTTCCAGAAGTTTGGCAAACTTTTAACAATTTCTGGCTTGAGTTTCCAGGTATTTCTTTGTTCCTAAATTTAATGTTTTTGTTTCATGCTTCATTTATCACTCTTTATTTTGGTATGAATTTTTCTGGCTGAACTTTTGTTACCTTGATTGATTATCAGATTAAATATAACTAATATGACGTGAAGTTTGATTTTTTTTATTACTGGTCTATGTTTTGCATATTTTTGTTGAATTCTAGTAAAGCGTCATACTTTTTGCTACACACTTTTGAGGAGTTCTACTGTTACTTACTCCAAACTAATTTAGAAAATCGTGATTCCATAAATGTGTAATCCCAGTTGTGGAATCACAAAGTGTTGATGCGTCTGTGTGAAGTTTTATATTTTTATCCAGTTATTTAAGGTTCTACACTGTTTGCTTGGTTTTCATTTCCTTCGTTAATATTTACACACATTTTTATATATTTTTTCTTCAACTTGGGACCATAGATGAGTTTGGACACTGCTCACTGCTCTGAAAGTAGCAACACTGAGTTATACTGAGTAAAACAAGAGGCTCTTGAGAGCAGACACGGAGCGGCGGCAGAGAGACGCTCCGTCCTCCTGGGTTTTCTAAAGTTGAGGCTGACATATAATCATACTCTCAGAGTTAGAGAGCGGTTGTTAGAATAAAACTCCCAAATCTCAGCTGTATGAATTATGTATATGCATAATGCTGATGATTTGAAGAGAGGGTGCATGATGCTGATTGAGGCGGTGCCACGTGGTGCGTCGCCGTTTTCGCAGCAGAGCCTCTCGCTGCAGACGTGAGGTCAGGGCCCTGCGCTAATTGGTGTCGGGGCCCAACGCTTGTGAGCTAAATGAGAAAATTACACGCTGTGGGAGGAATCAGCTGCAGTTGTGAAGGGAGGTGAGGGGAGGGGAGGGGGAGGCGGGGCTCTAACAGTACGACTGCTGCTCTATCTGTGTGGTGCAGACAGATGTCTGACTCTGTGTTTGTCTCAGAGACTGAGCTGGAGGCAGAACTTGTGGAGTGCAGCAGCTTCAGTTGACCTTTATGTCAGACGCAGTCACACGGTCACAGGTTTACTGCTTCATAGAAACACACGTCAGTGTCTAAACGACAGAGGGAGGCGTAGGTGGAGAAGAATGATGAGTGGGTTAGGGTACTGCCTTACAACCAGAAGATCATCAGTCTTACTCTGTGGTGCTTGTATGCTCTCCCTCTCCTTGTGTGTGTGTGTGTGTGTGTGTGTGTGTGGGGGGTGGGTTCTCCAGTTTTTCCTCCCACAGTCCAAAGAAAGTCAGGATTAGGGTTTTTGTTGACTCTAAATTGAGCAAAGTTGTGATTGGTTGTTTGTCTCTACTGTGACCCTGAACGACTGGAGAACTAGTTTATAAATACAGTGGAACCTCGGGATACGAGCATAATCCGTTCCAGGACCTAGCTCATAACTCGAGCTGCTCGTACCTCAAATTATTTCTTACTATAAGAAATAACAGAGAAAAAAAATGACCAATATTGAGTTAGTGAAGTTCCATTAGTCAATTCAGGTTGTAACCAGGAAATTACACCTTGGAAAACCACCAGTGGAATGGCATTTTTACCATAGTCACCTTTAATTTCCCTGTTTGAAAACATCTTTCTCTTGGCAACAAGACCCATTTGGACTTGAACCTCTGACCTTATGTTTAACCTTTAATCCTAAACTCTAAAGCACAGAACCGATGGTTGTTGATTCAGGCTTCCCTCCAGTCCACAGACCAGTGACGTCTGCTTTAATAAGAAGTTGTTATGGGTTTTTCATCACATCTTATTTGATAAACATCTGGTTCATTGGGGATTTTCCTGTTATATTTTCGCCGTGTTAGCTCCTAAAATCGCAGCCCTGGGGTCAACGTCCGGGGTCCAAAGAGGGTTTGATTCTCCGGAGTGAGACGGGGCTTCAAAGGCTGACCACGCCATTACAGCACAAACCTCTTCAAACAACTGATAGTGAGACAAAGGAGGCCGTGCAGCCTACTTTCTGCGGCCGTTATGAGCAAACAGCTAACGGCGTTTACTTAAGATTGCTTGCTCTCACCACCAAAGGAGACTGTCCGAGAAAGAACAGAGCCGGCGCAGAATAGAAACAAGACCGAGAACAAAAGGACGGCAATTCAACACTTGAGTCATTTAGTCCACATTGTTGTTTGTCTGTTTGTTTGTTGGGTGGGACGCAGGAGTGGAGGAATGCTGGGATTGGGAGTGAATCATTCTCCAGGGCTTTGACTTTTACACACACACACACACACATGTTGTTGCACACAAATGCACGTGGAAAAGGCAGGTCTGTGAATGGAAGATGATTTAAGTAGCGTGAACAACGCAGAATCACTCATCAGTGTTCGATCAGTTGATTCAGCAGATAAGTACGTAGACTTGAGTGGATCTTGTTGTTTTTTCCCTGCAGGAAAAAAAAAAACAAATAGGAAAAATGTATTCTTCTGTTCCACTTTTGACTGATTTGTTGTTGAATCCCATTCATCCACCGTCTTCTTGGTCAGGACCGACTGGTGTTGAGGTCAAGGATTAAGGACTATCCTTGATCTTGGTCGTTGGTCAACGTACTTGTAAACAGTAAGATGTTGTAAATATTGACTCTAATTGGTCCAATGGTTGGCCTATGGATTACAGTGTTAGGGTTGTAATGAGAGGACTGCTGGTTTGAATCCCTTCATCTTCTTCTCCTTCATCATCATCTTTTCCTCTCTTCTTCTGCGCCCGTTTCTTCTTAACCCTCGTGTGGTGTTCGGGTCTGTGGGTTCTCACTTTTTAATAAAAGAAAAATGATATAATTATTTAATTTTTCAAACTGAGACTCACTGGCTTTGGCTCATTTTCTGTGAA